GTTATAGACATATTTCTGTTTGTGTGTCTGGGATGAGAACTGCCACACTGCTAAGCTTTCCCTTGCATGACTTAGGGTGGGAAAAAACAAACCCTCATTTCAATGACATTGTTAACAATATATATAATAAAATGCAGGCACGTAAATGTGTGGTGTCTGCTGTGGGGACAAGGTTTTAGCCTATGCCTTGTAATATGTGCATTGTTGTCCATTGTTTCTCAAGGGTACCCAGGGCTAATATGGCCTCTTCACCTCATCACCCAGACTTAAATCTCCTAAGAGACTTCAGTGGGGAGAAGTCAGGGTCGGGGCCTTGAGTTCTCTTCAACTAGTGAAATAGTGAACAATGAGAGGAAGAGCATATACTTAGCAAGAACAAAATATTGGCCCCATCTATTCATTCATTCAACAAATAATTATCGTGCACCTGTCCTGTGCGGGACACTGTTCTAGGTGCTTGGTTATATCAGGGAACAGAAGATAGCTACCCTTGTGGACCTGGCATTCGGGTAGGAGATGCAGACCATAAGCAACAAACATGAGTCAGTGATTAAATTAGGTGGTAAGTAGACAAATAAATAAGTGAGCAGAATAAGGGGGTCAGGGGGAGGGGAGGAGAAGTGAACGAGTATTTGGTAGGGCTAGCGAACCCATGTCTCTGGGGCTAATCATTTTTTAGGTGCATAATAAGGATGCCAATAATATTACTTGCCAACAAGTGCTGAGGCTGACTCCATGCTCTCACTAGACCAGGCGTTTACTGGGCTATCTCATTTCATCTGAAAGGCTACCCTGGTTCTTCAGCTCTCTGAGGCCAAGTGCCAGACCTTCATTCTTAGCGTTGGTCTTCTCCAGCGGACCTTTGTCTTTACAATAGGACTTACTCCCAAAACTCTGGTCTTCATTGAAATGTTACATGTAGCAACTGTCCCTGTGAGCCCCAGTGCCCACGGAGTGCATTTGGTTTTTTTTCTTTTTGTTTTTTTTAAAGATTTTTATTTATTCATTTGAGACACAGAGATACACACAGAGAGAGCATGAGCAGGGGGAGAGGGAGAGGGAGAAGCAGGCTTCCCGCCAAGGGGAGCCCGATGTGGGGCTCGATCCCAAGACCCTGGGATCATGACCTGAGCCAAAGGCAGGCGCTCAACCATCTGAGCCACCCAGGCGCCCCCGGAGTGCATTTGTTAAACTCTTCAGTTAACGGACCCAGGGCATCCTTAGTGGACCCAGGTACCTGTGGCGGGATTTTCCGTGTAGGTAGATGGGAATGAAAAAGCAAAAGGAAGGGGCCTTGTGGTCTGTGTTGCTCTGAGTTCACACACTGCTCGGGGACCATTGGCTAAAGACACCAGCTTATGGCATGGCCTTTGCTCTTTATTCCTCTGTCATGTGCACAGTGAGGACATAGTTCAGGCTGATTGCTGGTGACATCTCTGTTTCTGTCACTTCCTTTCTTACCTACTAGAGGACTTGGGGGTTGGTTAGGATTTCGAAAGTCTTCTCAGCCAGGCTTTCCCCCAAGGTAGGACAGTGAGGGAATTGCATTCCACAGCAGCCCTCCACAGGCCTTGAGACACGGCAGGAAAGATGGGGCTACCAAACACTTCTGATAAGGCATCAACTTCAAACCAGGATGGGGCCCTTGGAGTTAGAGAAGAATCCAGCCATCACCCACCCTCTGTTGGTTAGAGGGAATTCATCCATGCATTCTGTAACCTTTATGTGCTTGGTCTGTTCCTGGAGCTGGTAAAAAAGAACAGAAGGAAAAGTTGATAAGTTGCTATAGCCATGGTCATGATTTGGTCCTCGGAATGGATAGAATAGAGCTTTGAGATAGGATGGAAGCCTTCGGTAGAATAACGGCTGACGAAAAAAACACTAAGTAAACTTTGAGCCAGAGATTTTATCAATGCAGTAAATCATGAGTCAAGTCAGAACTGCAGATGACACACACCAGTTCCTGGAACTACTGATTTGTTTTTTTTCTTTTGGCATGAACTTGTCACTTTCTATCCCACTTTCTGTTCTGTTCCTATGAGAATCGCCTCCTTCCCCAGGTACTGTGATCCATCCTACACATCCTCACAAGCTCCGTTCTCCACCACCCCCTTGTTCGTGGTAATGCTGCATGCCCACGATCTCTCTTGGTGTCCACCCAAGGTCACTGCCCTTGTCTAGCTGCTTAGCTGCCATCACCATGGCCTTGAACATGACGTTCGCTCACACTTCCAGCCCTCTCTCCCCTCCCTTCCCTCTACCTCAGTCATGTGCTCATGACACCCATGGCTGTTCCCCAGACATCACTTTCTCGTACCCCAGACACTTCTGCTTTGTGCTTGCCTTCATTACTCACTCTATCCTCCCCAAAGGGATCCCAATCAAGGCAGATGGCCCCAATTACACTCACCTCTCCCTCCTTAACCTCCAGTAGACCTTAATATCCCACCACCACTCCTTTGGCACATGGCCCACATTTCCCCCATAGTCTTGCTCCTCTTCTCATATTTAAACGCAAGGACAGGGAACTTTCTCATCCCAGTCTATGGCCAAGCACGCGACCCAATGCAGAAGTCACTCCCAATTACAGTTGACCCTTGAACGACATGGAGGTTAGGGGTACCGACACTCTGCACTGTTGAGTATCGGTGTCAAGTTTTGGCTGTTTAGAACTTAACTACTAGCAGTCTACTGTTGACTAGAAGCCTTGCCAATAACATAAATAGCCGTCTAACACATAGTTTGTGTGGTAGATGTATTATATGCTGTATTCTTACAACACAGTAAGCTAGAGAAAAGAAAATGTTAGTAAGGAAATCATAAGAAAGAGAGAAGACCTTTCTAGTACTGCACCATACACGATCCACGTAGAAGTGGACCCACGCAGTCAGACAGTGGGGTTCAAGGCCCAACTATAAATCACCGGAGGCCTAAGCAGCATTTGCTCCCCGCCCCTGCCCCAAAGAGAAATCTTGAGGAATCTTGCCTTTTGTTTTGTTTATACCAGCTTTGCACACACTCTGCAGACCCCTGCAAGACATCCCAGCCAATGCTCATGAGAGCATTCCAGGCCCCTAAACAAGTTGGGATTTTTGTTCATGTTTGTTTTGTTTTGTTTTTAAGCAAGAGGAAGAATCTATTTGCAGGAGAATTGGGAGGGGGGAGGGAAAGCCAAATAAAACCAAAAACAGACGACTTAAATGCGTGGAGCTTTGTCTCTCTTTTGTCCCCTTCTCTGCCCTTCCTCCACATCCCCATTCCCCCTCACTTTCTGTTTTGCTTTTCATGCCAGTTGCTACAGATGGTAATTTAAAAACTGCCCTGGCTTTTCCAGAGCCAGGAGGAATGTGCATCCGCACGTGGATTTTTCCACAAGAAAACTGTCCCTGTCTTTTGGTTCTTCTTAGCCAGAACCAATGAGAACAAGCAATGGGATGAGCCCATCCATCTCCTCAGTTCTTATTCTAATTTGCTGGAGAGGCTCAGAGGGGTGGTGTTTGGGGGGGGGGGGCGCTTGGGGTGGTATGTGTTGTGTTCCACCCTGTCAGGCTGCTGCTTGATGAGGTTTGAGCTCCATTTGTTCGGATGGTTTTTATGGTTTCTTTGTTGTTTGTGGAAAGACTTTGAAAGTCATCATTCTGAATCCTCCAACTTTTCTACCCTTCCTGCTCAGTGTCTCAGCGGGACTCACACCACGAGAAGGGAAAAGAGGAAGTTTCCAGACAGTTAGTTATGCAGTTCCTGAACACGGTTGTGGAGGCACATGGACTCTTTCAAGAAAGAGGTTGTGATCACAAAGGGGCAGGTTCAGTGGGAGGTTCTCCAAGGCACCCTGAGAGCAAGCCAGTAGGCGTCTCCAGGCGTGAAGCCTCGCTCCTCCGTGCCCTTGCTTCTTGCTCCTGCCCCCTTTCCAGCCACACTCTGGCCTCCTTTCTTTCTCTGTGGTGGTCAGGCCCAGCCCTTCCACTCTCCCTGGAAGAGCACAGAGAGCCTAGAATGTGCTCGTGCGTCTGAGATATCAGTGTGCTGAAGCATGGGGCCAGAGTCGGCTGCCAGGAACATCACGAGCCTGGTCTTTGAGACCTTCTTCCCATGGAGTCTTTAATCTGGACCTAGCTCATCTCTTCAGAGCTGCTTAAAGGACTCTGCTACAGAACTACAGGCATTTTTTTTTTCTTTCTAAACTTGTATTCGTTTATATTTGTAGAAGACTTTATAAGTTGCCTCACATACGTTACCTCGTTTGAGTACTGCCTGTCTTAGACGACTATAACAAAGTACCGTAGACTGAGTGGCTTAGAAACAAGAGATATTTACCACATCGTCTCCAGGCCGGGAGTCCGAGATCAGGGCGCCAACGTGGTGGGGTTCTGGTGGGGAGCTCTCTTCTGGATCAGAGACTGCTGACTTCTTGCTGTACCCTCACATGGCAGGAAGAGGGCAAGCTAGCTCTAGGGCCTCTTCTGATAAGGCCACTGATCCCCTTCATGAGAGCTCCACCCCCATAACCTAATTACCTCCCAAAGCCTGCACCTCCTAACACCATCACATCACATTGCAACACATCACATGTTGATATCATGTGAATTTGGGGGCGAGAGGGGGGAGGCCACACAAACATTCAGCTCACAGCATTACTACAACTCCATAAAATAGATAAATGGTGTAAATTTTCATGTCCAGAGTCAAGAATATTGAAGCTCGGGGAAGTCTTGTGATTCATCCAAGGTCCCACAACAAACAGGGGTGAGGGGCAGAACTTGAACCAATCCTCTGACTTCAGATTCAGGATTCTTCCCATTCACTCCAGCTTCCAATGAGTGTTAATGTTCCTTCCCACCCGTACCCCAGGAGGAGAGTACTCTTCTGGAGCTTAGTCATGCTTAGGACGTCATGGCTGATTAAATCGAATTTCTCCTGATCACTAAAAGAGAATCCTCATGGCACCTGTCTGAAAAGCTGGAGATGCTGATGTACCTCTACTTGTTGTTTTTCATTAGACCCTTCTTATGACTCAGTCAGGAGAGGAGGATGGGGCAATAACATGAATTCTGGCCTCAACAAAAGTAAGTAAATGTCACGCTATTATTTGGAGGAAAACACTTGTTCTACAAACACGGATGGAGAACAGGGTCATGAGCTAGAACAGGGCAGGAGTGAGCATCTGTTGTCTTGCCTGTCGGGAGGACATCAAAATTAACTGCCAGGGTAGGGCCTATCAATGATACCTGTTCCCTGAAAGATGGTGTGGGATTTTCATTCAGATCTTTCGGTTTTGTTGCATTGCATTTGGTTTTCACATTTTTGAAGTTAGAAGGCTTCTCAGGACTGGGTTTTCGGTATGAATGGAAGGTCGCTGGATTTGGATCTAGCCATTTCTGTCATGATAATGGTCCTTCATGACTTTCCTCCTCTGAGTGTTGAAGCTTACTCATAAATACCAACCTCCCTGACTTGGTTTCGTGAAGGGCTGGGATGGAGGATGGTCTTCGGAGGCGATGGTGGGGGTCTGACACATCAATTTGTGTTCAAGTCCGACCCAAAATCTCCCATTCAGGGAGTGGGGAAAGAGAAGGACTATAAACTCCTAACCAGGATGTGTGAACCTTGCTATCTGTAGGAAGCAAAGGGTCAAGCACATGGGTGGTGAAGGGCCTTCTTTCAAGAAGGCTGGGATTACAAATTGATACCCAAGCAATTACTAGGATCCCTTTCAGTACTGTGTATTCATTATTTGTTTACTCTGTGCCCAGGACTTGGCACTCTTGGGTTCACAAAGATGAATCAGACACAGGCCAGTCTGTCAAGCTGGGGAGAAGGGTTACACACACACAGTTCTTTTCATTTGGGTGGTATCAAGGAAGGCCTGTGGACCTGGCACAATTTGAGTTGACTCCTGAAGGAGAGGCAGGATTTGGCTCTGCAGAGATGGGGAAGACAGAGCCTCCCGGGAGAGGTGGGGACCAGGGAACAATATCAGGGTTTACATGTCTGATGGTTAGGGAGGACTCAGAGGGAAAACAGTCTGGAAGGGCAAGGAAGGGGCACAAAGGCTGCTGTGAAGGTAGACCTTCATTCTTTAGTCAGTGAGGACTCACCAAGGTGTTTGGATGGTGGAGGGAAATGGTTTAGGGAAATGAAACTGACTAAATATCATATGGTGGACCAGTGGGAAGAGAGGGGAGTGGTGAGGATACAGTCAGACTAAGCCATAAACTGTGTGAGAAGCCACAAAGGTCTAGGATGGAGAAGCTATGACGGAAGCCGAAAGGCTGTATGTGAGAGGTTCCATGAGGAGAACTCACAAAGCATGGAAACGCACAAGCAGGTGACATTCACTCACATGTCACCATCCCGTTAAGAACCTCAAAATTCCTACTTAAAAATGCAGTTCACAGCAGCAATACCATTAGGCATGCTGTGCTGTATGTTTGTTGCCATTTCTCATTGTCTCCCCGTGAAAATGTAAGTTCTACCGGAAATGCTGGTTCATGGCTAAATCTCTAGCACCAAGAATACTGCCAGCACTAGTAGATTCTAGACAAATATTTATAAGATTTATTTACTTATTTTAGAGAGAGACAGAGGGGGGAGGGGCAGAAGGAGAGAGAATCTTTCAAGCAGACTCCCCACTGAGCATGGAGCCTGACCCGGGGCTCGACCTCATGACCCTGAGATCATGACCTGAGCTGAAACCCAGAGTCTGATGCTCAACCGACTGAGCCACCCTGGCGCCCCTCTAGATAAATATTTATAAAACAAAATGAATAAGTGAGTGAGTGGAGAGTGGGTGAATGAGCGAATGAATGAGGGAGCACCTTGTGGAGGGCTTTGAACGAGACGTTTCTCTTCCCTCATGGAGAGTGGCCCAACTCACCTTATCTCTTTCCCCACCACAGGTCCCCCACTTGCAGGAGCACAAGCAATGAGTAAGAATACCGAACAAAGGCCCCAACCAGGTACCTGTCTGGGATGGGTAATCCCTCCTTTGCTCTTTATTCCATTTGGTCAAGTGAGGAGAACTGAGTCAATACACAGTATTTGTCCTCATTTTTCTCTTTCACAGAGGGTCCCTATTTGACTCCCTGTAAGAGCTCTGTGAATTAAAAGTAGCAGGCACTAGAACCAGGCAAAGATTTGTTAAATACCGGAGGTAAAATGAATGTAAAGATTAAAGGTTCCAACGTCTCATTTTGTAAAATAAATAAACTGAGGCCCAGAGAGGGAAAGTAATTTGCCAAAAGTCATGCAGCTGGTTTATGAGAGAACTAGAGCTCTAATCCTCAGACTCCAGAGCTGCTGTCCAAACCTTTTAGGCTTCACAAAACCTTTCTCCTAAAACTACCCTCATCCCGTGATGAATCTGCTTAACAATTTAGGCAGGGGAACTTCTCAAACCATGGAATTGGAGACTCTTGGTATTGGAGTGAAACTAGGTCTATAACATCCTTCTATGACACCTGTCTTATGATTATCTCACCTCTACTTGAATATTTATAGCTACCAGGAGTTCACTACCTCGCTAAGCTCATTTCCACTCTTGGAGCCAAAGTCCCCCTCATTGTAACTGCTGTCCAACTTTCTGGTTTACCCTCTGGAAAACCTTCCTCCTGTTCTGTAGGAAGGTCCTGTATCTGAAGACGGCTGTCATGTCCACTCCCAAGCCCAGCTCTGTTTTCTCTGTGTGACACAGCTGAGATTAAGTTCTGGACAAGCCACTTGCTTTAAGACAGATAAACATTGTGTTCCATCTCTGTCAAAGGCAGAACAATAGAGAATTGACCTACATGTCATTGGGAAAGTTGAGAAAGGATGTGCTGAGTGAAACACACAAGCCAAACAGGATTTGACATAGCCGATTTAAAGAATTCCCAACGACAACAAAATTAGACATTACCTGCTAAAAATGTTTCAGTTGTCGTACTGTGTGGGTATATGGATGCAAAAGGGTAGACGAAGCAGCCTTGAGGACTTTTGAGGTTAATTCATGGTTGTAAGCAGAAACCCCCAAATCATGTTGATTTTTTAAAAATTGCAACGACAAGTGCAAAAATAGTAAAATTGTATCAGACATTCGACATCCTGGCAGAGTGTGTACCATGATTTCCCAACCTGAAAAAAAAGAAGACCAACCTCATGTAATCAATACTGCAAAGATTCTTTTTATAATTAAATAATCATGTAAGTTTTACGGAGACTGAGATATAAGGAACAGTCATTTTATAGCTAAAATACGAATTCTGGCTGTCATTTTGAAGCTGAAGGTGCTGGAATTTGGTGCTAGAAGGGAGCAGAGATTGTCCAGTGAGTCATTTTAGTTTGTAACGTAACTGGGACTACAGCCCAGGCTGCCTGATTTCCAGGCACTATGCTACATCACAAATCCAGAGATGTATACAGAGCTGCAAGGACCAGGAATCACTAGACCTTTCTTTAAACTCGTTTTAATACGGCATCCTTCACCTTAGTCATGATGATTGAATATTAGCCAGCTTCTTTCATGATTCTGTTTTAAGCAATGACAGCATTATCTACAAATTTTGGACACCGAATATGAAAAAAAAAATGATGCTGCTAGTATCCTATGTTTCTGTAATTATAGGGATGAAAACCGTAACTGCTCCAGATCTTTGAGGTCTGCACATAAAAGCAGTAAAGTTCTCTGAAATCAGTTTTTTCTATGATATTGAAATAAAAGTATAAACCCCAGGGGTATTCTTATTATTAATGCTGTTGTTTTTATATTTTTAATAACGGTGAAGCTAATTTCCTTTTTTGCTTCCTTAGATCCATATCAGATCCTGGGCCCGACCAGCAGTCGCCTAGCCAACCCTGGTGAGTTTACTTTGGCCTGCAAGGTTTTTCTTTCCAGAATGTTCCATAGCTTTGTGAGGTCACAGAGACCTCTGTCCTAAGTTCAGACACCTGACTAGGAAGTAACATGCACTCTTTCCCTTGAAATGGTCAACATCTGCTTCTCTAGCATACAAGTGAGAGGTTGGAGCTTGTTATTAGGTGATAGTTATGTTCCATTAGCTGAGGCTTCTTCTGGAAAACAAACATATTAGCACTGCCTATCTGCATGGAAGCTTAGATCAGTAATAAACGGCACAGGTAGAAATTTTTGCAGGGAAAGATGGGGGCGGGCAGGGGAGTAATTCCAGTGAGTTCTCAGTTATGGCCCTCATGGAAGTCACAAGTGAATAGATGTTCCCAAGGCGTTTTATTCTTGAACTTTAGAAAGTGTTGCAGTTTTCTGGCCTTATGGAAGAGCTGTGTCCCTGAAAAGTTGCAGATGACATAAATCTGACAATGTCGTTTACGGGTTCATTATTAAAAACAGCCCTCAAATGAGTTCTAGACCAAGGCCACCAAGCGTGTGAGCTAACTGGCCCTTTGCGGTAATAAAGCCCACATCTTCGCATCCCAGGGAACCCCTGTTGCCAATGTCTGCAGGCCCATTCTTTAGTGCCTGGCCATTCCTGTTTTGGGGTCTTGGGGACAGGGGAGGGGGCAGGGAGAAGCCACGCAGCTCCCTCTCCTCTTATTTTCCTCTCCGCCCAAGTTCTTCTCTGTCGGACTTAGAGCTGAGAGCCAAGCACTAGCGCTCTGTTAAGGAACATTCCATGTCCCTTCAGCCTGACACCAGGGCCACACCTTCTCCCTGTGACCCTCGCTGTGGTTTCCTGGCCCCGATTCCCTTTTACACTGACAGGGAATATTGGGGGGAGGTACTTCATCCGTGGGTAGAGACTAGACAGCGATTCAGGTCCTTCTAGAAGAAGAGATTCAAAACTCTTGCCAAAAGGGGTGGGAAGCGGCTTGCCCCAAATCATACAGCCAAGGGGCTGCCAGAAGCAGGAGATCCTGAATGTGGAAGGAAATGATGAGTTTCTGACAAAGAGCGAGAGGATCCTGGCGTTTTAGGGAATTGGATCCTGACTTTCGCGGGCTGAGCTGCTCTGTTTTCTCCCGTTGCCTCTCACCGCCTGCAGGAAGCGGGCAGATCCAGCTGTGGCAGTTCCTCCTCGAGCTCCTGTCCGACAGCGCCAACGCAAGCTGTATCACCTGGGAGGGGACCAACGGGGAGTTCAAAATGACGGACCCCGATGAGGTGGCCCGGCGCTGGGGGGAGCGGAAAAGCAAGCCCAACATGAATTACGACAAGCTGAGCCGGGCCCTCAGATACTACTATGACAAAAACATTATGACCAAAGTGCATGGCAAGAGGTATGCCTACAAATTTGACTTCCACGGCATCGCGCAGGCCCTGCAGCCACATCCCACCGAGTCATCCATGTACAAGTACCCTTCTGATATCTCCTACATGCCCTCCTACCACGCACATCAGCAGAAGGTGAACTTTGTCCCTCCCCACCCGACCTCCATGCCTGTCACTTCCTCTAGCTTCTTCGGAGCAGCGTCACAATACTGGACCTCCCCCACGGGTGGGATTTACCCCAACCCCAATGTCCCCCGCCATCCCAACACCCACGTGCCCTCACACTTAGGCAGCTACTACTAGAAGCTTAATCATCGGTGGCCTTCTACCTGAAGCCCCTCCATTCCTCACACTTCCTGGGATACTTTGGACTCCAAAGGACATACGTGGCCTTGAAGAGAAAACAAAACTGGATGTTCTTTCTTGTCGGATAGAACCTTTGTTCTTTAAAAACAATCCTTTTTTTTTTTTTTTTTTTTTTTTTAATGTTGGTAACTTCTGCTTCCTCTACCTTGAACAAAGAGATGGATGATTTTCTGGGCCAGTACACCAGTTTGGATTCTCAATCTGCTATCATCTTCTGAGTTGAATATTTAGATTACTGGAATGGTTGTATCATGGTTCTAGGAAAGAAACTGTACATTTTCTTTATATTTTTATGACCAAAGCAGTTTCTTATCAACACACGGGTCTCATCATGGACCCTGTAGGGTTCAGTATGATAAAGAATCATGGACTTAACCAGTTAATGCTCTGGTTTGAGACTGAGTGAAAATAGAGGCAGGAAGCTTATGTAACCTTATTTTAGGGGGACCTGATTCAGTGGATGGCAACTGGAACACTGGTTGTAAGGCCAGTGAAGTTTTCACCCAACTGGAATTTAAAAGAAAGAACATGTGTGTGTATTTAAGAAGCCGTGGGCATTGCAAAATCCCTCCCAGTGGGCAGTATGCACTAGGCTGACCATCCTCTCTAGAAATAGTCAAGATATGAACTTAAAAAATGTTAATGCAAATGCAGACATTACTGAAAGACAGAGAATTAAATAATTTTTTTTTAAGTAATGACAGTGGGTCCCAGAACTTTGAAAAGTCTTAGGGATTTCTGAACACAAACAGATTCGCAAGCGCTGTGCGTTTGTCAGACCACCAGTCCAGGGTCAACCAATCAGAAGGCAACTTACTGTATAAATTATGCAGAGTTATTTTCCTATATCTCACAGTATTAAAAATAGATAATTAAAAAAAAGTAAAAAGAATAAATAAACGAGTTGACCTCGGTCACAAAGACAATTTTACTATCAAATCAGTCGTTATTTTTTTAAATGTAATTTGTACATCTTTTGTCAATCTGTACATTTGGGCTGTTTGTACGTTTTTATAGCTGGTTTTTAAAAAGCATAATGTGACTATTGCTAAAAAGAAAACAGGACGTTTGAGTCACTGACTTTACTAGAAAGAGAAGCACCGTGCAGTATTTAACGGGCGTGCACAAGCAGGTAAAGGCAATCCATTCAAATCTTTAATGCTTTGGAAATGTTTGTAAATAACCATAATGCAATAATCACAACTTTGGAAAGAACAAGCAAACTTTCCCTTGTGGATACGAGGGATTTTCCTGCCCTATATATGCAATATATTTTTTAGATATTAAAATATATATAATTTTTCAGGTAATCATTGACTTTTTTAAAACTATATTAAGTGTTAAGCTGACAATTGTCAATGAAGACTATGTTGTAAAATAATTTGACTAAATAAATTGTGCCTTCTTCTCTCAGAATTGAGGACATCGTCTTCTTATTTACCCCTCATTAGGCCAAAGGTTTTCCCAGGGGAAGTTCCCGATTGAAACTCTTGCACCGTAAAGACTTTTTCACGTGTATGTGCTGCTGGAAAGCAGAAAGCACAAAATCTGTGTGGTTTTTATTGTTGTTTGTATTAGTTAATGTTCTCCAGAGAAAAAGAGCCGATAAGATACACAGTATTGATGGAGATTTACTGTGAGGACCTGGCTCACAAAATCGTGGAGGCCAAGAAGTCCCACGATCCGCTGTCTACAAGCTGGAGACACAGGAAAGCCAGTGATGTGTTCTGGTGTGAGCCCGAAGGCCTAAGAACCAGGGAAGCCCATGGTAGAAATCCTAGGCGGAGGGGAGGAAAAATGTCCCACCTCAAGCAGGCAGGCAGGAAGCAAAGAAGTGAATTCCTTCTTCCTGTGCATTTTGTTCTATCCAGACCCTCCATGGATTGGTTGATGTCCTTGGGCTTTGGGTAAAGCAATTTACTTCGCCGAGTCCACAGATTCAAATGCTACTCTCATCTGGAAACACTTGCACATACAAACTCAGAAATAATATTTAACCTGGGCACCCAGTGGCCCAGGCAATTTGATACTTAAATCAACCTTCACATTATTGATGACATTGGCAGAGATTTTTAAAAATGTTATTTAAATCTTCCTCCAGCCTAAAAGGGCTTATAGGATGACAGCCAGGGCCATGGATAATCTGTGTCCAAGAACAAGAACGAAGTAAACGTTTCCATCCAGGATGGATCCCTTGTCCATTAGACTTCACTCTGTTGTATCCACTGCACGCCTCAAACCCAAGTGGTCATCTTCCTAACATTCCAGTGGAGAATAAGGTGGCCCGGCTTCCTCTGGTCCCATGTCAGGATCTTATGGCCCATGGAGAGTGTTAGGTTCTTTTTTCTTTCCAAAGAGGAAACTTGCTTCAAATTAGGTAGCTGGTTTTCATTTCCTCTATTTTGTAATGAAAACAAGTGAGGCTTGGAAAGTCCGTGATGGTATGAGAAATGAGACTCACGGTATCTTCCCTGGGTAGCACTGAGTATGTTTGAGACAACATGTCTACCTAAATGAAATGAGGTGTGTTCCAGAACGCTGGTCTCCATTTTTTTTTAATTGCACCCTACCATTAAAAAAAAAAAATGTGTTAAGCAAATATTCTCAATATTTGAACATTGATTTATAAATCACATACACCGTTATATTATTACTATTTATATTATGAAACAAACACAAAACAAAATTTTCAAGAGCAATATAAAAATAAACTGAAACTGAAATTCTAGTGTTTCCCTCCTACGTTCTTTGTATTGCATATCTCTCGCTGTCAACACTCAACAAGAAAGGTAGTCTTTAGAGGAATGAATATGTATATATACATCCATATGGGTTTTCTAGTGACTTCTAAGAAAGGAGAAAATAAAAACTTGGTGTTCGTGGCCCAAGCATAGAAAGAGAAACGATAAAGGCCAGGTATATTCAAGAATAGTCTAGCTGGATTCTTCTGCAAATCTCCACACCAGCCAAGCAATTTTCCATCAGTTTAGAAATTTGCAAAGTAATCATTAGGGAAGATAAAGGTGAATATTTCTTGCTGCTCTGGGAAGAACGGGAGTGCATCTTTATAAAAGGTTTTCTTTATATGCCCTAGTCAAACACTGGCCTGGGTCCATCACCTCCACCAAAGTCTTAGAACTCTGGCCAAACCTTGCCCCTTGAATTTGCTCCCGACAATTCTTCCACATTGGGGAAGTGGGTGTCTCACTGACAGGTCCAGGACAGCGTTTTCTCCTTCTAAGCATCTGGGCGGAAGGAAGGTTGGCACTCAGGCCCCTGTAATGCCCGGATTTAGGGTTTACTAGCTTACTCAAGGGCATCCAGCTGACTAGTGACAGAGGACGAATAGGTTCTTCGCCATCCTGGCGGCTCGTTCAGTATTTTCCCCACTCAACCATCTATACCTGCCAAGCAGAGAGGAGCCTGGTAAACCCGGGAGCAGTTCTCATGGAAATTATTCTTTCCCAAGCTTTAGCATACTAGGCAACAGCTCTTTCGAATAGCAGTTCGTTCTTTTTGTTGTTTTGTTTTGCTTTTTGTTTTGTTTTGTTTTGTTTTAGTGTCCAAAAGTATTGTTGCCTCCCACGCAAAGGAAACTATATATTCAATATCTATTGTTTTACAACATTTCCAGTGGTCAATGACCACCAGAAATTAAGAAATGACCATTTTTAAAATTTAACCGGTAATATCTGCCTGCAATATTTAGCCTATGCATAATGCTAAAGTGTGGGCCCTCAGATGGGGTATGACTAGTTTAGAGCAGATGAAATCAGGAGGTTCCAGAACACCAGGGCAGAAAGGATGATCTGTCTCTCCTAAGCCTAGGTGTTGCCAGGACAAGGCAATGGTTGGCGAGGGCTTAGAAAACAAAGAAAAACAAAACAAAATGCAGTGTTTTCTCTAGGTCTAGTTTCATATTCTACTTCCTCAAATACCTATTGAATCAACAACCATCATGTATATATGTACCTGGAAGCCTACTGTAGGGGAGCTGGGTGGCTCAGACGGTTAAGCGTCTGCCTTCGGTTCAGGTCATGATAGAGTCCCACACTGGGCTCCCTGCTCAGCGGGGAGTCTGCTTCTCTCTCTCTACCCCTCCCCTCTGCTCATGATCTCTCTCTCTCTTTCTCTCTCTCTCTCTAATTAATAAATTTTAAAAAGAAAAGAAAAGAAAAACTATTGAAAAGGTGCCACTCTGGGGAGAAACCCTTGGGCATGGCTCTTCTGCTGGCCAGCCCCGGTCCCACAACTAGCTGGGGAATCTGCCTCCTGGAGGTTTCCCCACCATCAGCTGCACTGCTGGGCTTGTGTCCAGCATGCCCTCAGGAGAAGGCAGTGAAATGGTGCTCAGTATCAATGGGGGAGAGAAAGGAGGTAATAAAGAACTAGAATGAGGGGAACCAGGGGACTGGGTTCTGGTGAATAAACAGAGACTTCAACTCTTACCCAGGACGAGCTTTGGGTTTCGCAAAAAGCACACTGGATACTTCATCATATAGAAAGCTACTGAAATTGACACTGTACTCCTTCAGCGAGGGAGTCCAGCTAAAGGATTATGAAAGGTCGGCTGATTTCAGGACTACAAATCCCAAGCTCCCTTGGGAGGGGGGGACGGACACTTCTGAGAGGAAGTGGTGTAGCCAGTCAAACCTCTAGGGCTTCAGCCAATTGAAAAAGGATATGGAGGGAAGCTTTTTGAAAGGAATGTCGGCTCACGTGCCTGGGGTCTGTCTCCCTCTCTCACTCTGACTTGGCCTCCCGTCTAATTGTTTCAGTCTGTCTGAGCTGGTAAATTCCTAAGCACATAGTCAATTTACACTTCGCTTAAAAGCTCTAAGGGGAAACACAAAAAGTTTCCAGTGAGACCACTCACTTACCTACAATTGCTAAACTAACCTTCTGGATTTTAACTGAGTTCGTTACCTCCTGTGTTTTCTTAGCGGGAGGAGGGAGGCAATTTGGTTAGATAAATGAGCAAGGATGTGATGCAGGAAGTCCTGGGTTCAAATTCTAATCTTCCACCTACTGGGCAACTCATCTGCACCTCCGAACTGGGGAACTGGGTAATGCCTCTTGCAAGAGTTCCTGCGAGGTACTAGATGACACATGTGGAAAACCCTTTATTAAATACTGTACAGGAAGTATATATATAATCACTGTTATCTGCTAGTATTTGCTAGGTTTTTCCAAGAACTTCTATTAAATCCTTGGTAACCGGTGAGCACTTTGTTTGGGGAGTTGAGTACAGGGTAGATTTTGTTTTGTGGTCAATAAGGCATTTTCCAAATGAGTGAAAAGTGGGAGTAAATTGGATTTTCCAGAGACCCATTGTGCCTTCCCCATCCCCGGGCGGCCCTCGTTGTGCCCCACTTGGGCTTCTGCCCTTCACTGGCTCTGTGTATACCTAAAGTCCGCAGAGCACACCAAGCTGCAGGATGTTGCAAATAAAAGGAGATTGTTATGAAAGAATGCCAAAAATGCCCTTTGTCAGAAATGCTGGGTTAGGTTTTTAAATCAGCTAAGGAATAGAGGCTGGGAGCTGGGATTTTATGCTTAGTAAGCTTGGCTCCAGATTGTTTGCAGACCAAAAGCAGCCTGTAAGTTCCATGAAAGAAGAGACTGGATTTGGTTTGCTGGGGTAGCAGTGGATACACAGTAGTGGGTCCGTCCTTAGATGCTGAGAGCATAAAGAACAGGGACGGAGTCAGAGAGACCTGGCTGTGAAGCCCGGCATTTCCACTCTCCTCATGATAACATACTGTATCTGAGCTTGATTTTCCCATCTGTAAAATGAAGATTATAGTCCTAACTGTACAAGGTTATCACGGGAGTTAAGTAAGATACTACAGGTAAAAATGTTCTTCTGCATGTTGAAAAGAGCTATGGAAATGCAAGATATCATCTTGGTAAGTAGCTCTCCGTTCTGTTCTGTTACCATAAAATAGAGTTAAATCACACTCCCCAATTTTTCTGTCTATTATGAATGTATTATTTTAATTTAAAAAATTATAAAAGCTTGAAACAGTCCCACACACTTACAGAAAAGTTGAGTTTACATAGAACATTTTTTATTGAGCCCCTCAAGAGTTAAGTGGCCAACCTGATGCCCCATCACAGCCAAACATTTCGGTGTGAATTTCTTAAAAACAACAATGTTGTCTTGGATAATCCAGTAGTACAATCATGAAAAATCAGAAAATTAAGATGGACAGACTACTACCACGGAACCCTTACGTACCATTCGCTCTTAGCTAATTGTCCTACTATTGTCTTTCGTAGCAAAAGGATTCTGTTCATAATCCCGATTGCATTTAATTGCCCCAGGTCTTTGGTCTGCAACACTCCCAAGTCTTTCCTTGACTTTTAGGACTTCGACAACGTTGAATATTATAGGCCAGTTATTTTGTAGAATG